GGTCCTCTCTAAGCCTTGACTCCCTCTAATTCCTGAGCCAGGTAAATAAATCCCAGTGGCCAGAGGTAGCCAGGGTAGGCTCAGAGGGGAGGGACTGGGTACAGTGGTTCCCAGGCTCAGCAGTTCCCAAGTGGGGAGACCTGGAGGAAGGGAATGAAATGAGAGGAAAGGAAAGTCAGGAATGAGGTGGTGCTTGGGAGCTCCAGCAGGGAGGCTGGCTCCTTTCTAACAATTCTATATGGCCACAAGGTCCTGGACTCGACCTCCACCCCAAGCAAGGGAGCAACCTGGATTTTGGCTTCTTTCTGCTCCCCCTGATTTCCCCCTGCTCTGTCCCAAAGGGGCTGCTTAAGTAGAGGAGACTACTGTCCTCCATGCCAGGAGAGAGGCCAGCAATTCAGCACCAGTCCTCAGCCCAAATCCCCCACCTGGGTCCAGGAAGTCCTCAAGCACGACTCAGCAGGCTTTGGGGGCACATTGTCAGTCCAAGGAGGTAGAAGAAGTAATCAGTGTTTCAGCTGGGCCTTCCATGGCCCTATCTAAGGAAGTTCCACCTTGTTATTTTTTATTGCTATAGCTAGTCATTTCTATGTAGGGCTTATCACGATGTGTAACTAATCACATATACTCATTCCTTTTTTTATTTTTATATTTTTTTCTGTTGGTGCTGGGAATTGAACCCAAAGCTTTGGCATGTGAGGCAAGCACTCTATTAACTGAGCTATGCCCTCATATACTCATTCCTTTACTTGCTTTCTTGCTTCTATTTGTCTCCTTCACTAAAGGGGAAGTTCCCTGAAGTTAGATGGTGTGCCTTTGTGTCCATTGCACATCTGTGCCCAGGCTGGCTGGCATACATAAGGCTCAGCAAGCATCCAATGAATGGATGAACTGCTGATTGACCAGCTGGGTAAACGAGTGTCCCTGGCTGCCAACATCAACCTTTAGGACTGATATGCAACAGTTCCAGGATTTCCCCCAGGAGGAAACAATGTAACAAGAAGAACAAGGTCAAGAAGGCTGGGACCCCAGAAGAAAGTTCATCCCCCATCAGAGTCAGAATCTTCACCAGCCCGGTCTGGTCCCCTTTAACACACCATGTGTGGGTGTGTGCACATACAGGATTCATGGTTGAGCACTAAGTCCTGGACAAGTTTTGGAAGACTTGCATCATATCTTGGTTCTTCCTTTTAATAACCCTCTGACCTTGGACAAATTATATATCTTATGCAGTTCTGTTTCTTTAAAGAAAAAATGAAGAGGTTGGCCCAGATTGGGTTTTCTCAAACAGCTTTGCACCAAAATTACCTGAGGTACACGTTAAAATCTAGATTCCAAGGCCCCCAACCCTGCAGATTCTGACAGATTCTGGAATAGGGCCTGAGGATGTTTATAACACATTCCTCATGTGATTCTGAAGCAAATGGTCTAGGAACTGGCATTTGAGAACCATGGATGAAATGGTGCTTTACAAGTCAACATCTGGACTTTCATTTAAAAGCCACTGCTACACAGGTATTCATTCCCCCAAACATGTCCATATACCCCACACAGAGCCACAGATTGCAAAGGTATATACTATACAGATGACACACATCTGTACTATATGTGAGCATACCCCCCTCCCAAATACCCAGCACAGAGCCACAACATTGGTCACAAGATGCCATGGAACCACAACATCCATATTCACAGCTCACAGCTGGGGCAAACAGACACCTACCCACCACACACCCAGTGTGTGTGCACATACACATCATATGGAGACTCACACTTTAGAGATGCTATCCTGAATTTATTTTGCCTCTGGGAACTGGTCCAGAACCAAAGGAGCTATGCTCTGCTGATGAAAACATCCCTCCCACCTCTGCCACCCACACCTCTCCCCCTTGCCCCAGGCAACATGCTGTTCACCTCCCCCTTGTGTGGCTAGAGGAGGGCAGTAGAGAGAGATGGGATGAGGAGAGGCAGAGACTGAGACTGATGACTCAAGTTTCTAGGAGCCCTCCCATATCCAGCACCCTTTCTGTTCCACGGCCCCCCAAGAGATGACAGAGGGCCACCACTGAGCCTCCAAATCAATGCTCCCTCAGGCTACTTGCCTGGATTCCCAGGCCCTGGTCCTAGGAAGCCAAAAGGGTTAATAGGTGGCTAGATCTGGGGACTCCTCCTAATACGTAGGCCTCTAAGGAAAGGGCTGTCTGGGGGCACTTTCCTGCAGCCCTAAGGCCTAGGTCCCCCAGGGAAGGTTACCACAGAAACAGGAGAAAATATTATAAAGGAAACACAATACCCGGCAGGGTCACCTGCTGACCGGGCTTCCTGCTGTGTTTCCCACCCCCATCTCATTGGCCTCATAGCCTCCTTCTCCAGCCTCAGCCTGGGCCTCCTGGCCAGCATCTCTTTCCTGCCTCCCCTGGATTGGCGGAAGCAGCCTCAAGGAGAAACTCTTTGTGGTCCCAAACATCAGGGATAGCCCAAAGCTGAGCCCCCCATTCCTAATCCCTACCAACCTCCCCACCACCACTACCACCACAGGAAATCAATGCTTCCTGCCCCAGAGGAAGTGCCCATCCACCTAACAAATCCAACACACACAAATTCATAGTCTAGGAGCTTGAGCCTCCAGGGGACATATGCCCTCCCCCAGTCCCAGGTCTTCCTGGGGCCCTGTTCCAGCAATATCCTGCACTTCACTGGAAGCCCCAGCTCCACATCTACGCATGCACCAGGGTCAGGAGAATAGGCACCAGCAGAGGCAGAAAGCCTGGTCCCAGCGCATTCAGGCTGCCTGCCATTCCCTGGCTGGTTGACCCTGGCCCTTGCATTAGTTCATCTTGTCTCAGGCCTCTGCCAACTTCAAAACTACCAGTTCTTAATGAAAGGTCAGGGGAAAGAAGACAAAGAGGAGGTGGGATTACAGAGGCTTCTGTCTTCCAGTGAGTCTTACAAGAGGGTCTCCATCCCCCCCGATCACCACCACATACAAGTTTCTCAATTGCCCAAAAGTTTTATATCACAGTTGTGAAAGTTTCAACTCTGATGTCCAAACACCAAAGCTGAGGTCCACTATTCCTAATGGAAGTCGGGGGTTATAATACACACACACACACACACACACACCTAGTTAGACACTGACTTATGTCTTTATGGTCAGCCACTCTTGCTCTGTGCTCTGGATAGTGCACTTGGAATTTCTGCCCCATTTAGTGACAAGGAATCTGAGCTTGAAATAAAAGTGGTTAGAAATTAAAATGTCCCTGCCTCTACAACCCAAAGTAAGCCTTGGTGGCCAGGGAGATACCCACACAATAGGTTGAACTAAGGGACAGAATGCTCCTTATAGGAGCACTACCCTCAACCATTCCAGGTGCAACACCAAGGGGTAGCTCTGAGTTTGACTCTGCTCCTGATGCTGCTAGGCAGGAAGGAGCTAAAGGCAGGGGACTAAAGGCAGGGGACAAGTCACAAATGGGTCCAGGACTTGTTCCAGTTTCAGTTCACTGGGTACCATACAGTGAAACTGCTGTGTGCCTCAGTTTCCCTCAGCAGTGACTGAAAAGAAAAATTAGGGAATGAGGGCAGAAGGCAAGGAAACAGCAGGGAGGGTGAGGGAAATGCTAAGCAATGAGAAGCCCAGAGATGGTTTGCAGACGCTGCAGAAGGGCTTGGAATGTATAAGAGGGTCAGGATGAGGAGGGAAGTATGTGTGTCAGCCCAGAAGCCTGTGGGATCCTGTCATGGAGAAATGGGCCACCAAAGTGCCCCATTAGAGCACAGTAACCTGAGTCATAGTCTCCTTTCTTTCGGCCCAATGGCTGGATGGGGACTTGAAGGAAGGTACCCATGGGTTCAGGTGCAAGTCTGGGAACAGGCTGATGGTTCGGATGTTGAGCTCCCATCATGGTTGTTGAGAACCAATGCCCATTCACACCTTAGAAACTGGCAGGCAGTGGGGGCTTGAAGTAGATGTTGAAGAGGGGTGTGGGAGGGATGGTTAGCAGCAAGACAGCCAGTGTTCATTGCAGGAGGCCTTCTGGTATATCGTACAGTCAATAAGTACAAGGAATGAGGCGCAGCAATGGCTGGTCGAGGTCAGACACAAATGGGCAGCCAGAGGGAAGGAAATGGGGGGACGCACACAAGGTGGCCTGCAGGCCTCAGATAGCTGTCCCCTAACCTGCAGGCCTAAAAATTGGTAATCGGAATCCAGCTTAGTTTGCCAGATTTGCCTCTGCCCTGCTCTCACATTCACAGGCACCAACAGACCCTAGGACTAGAGATCACATATTCAGGTCCCCAGCCTTCAGTATACAGCCAGTGGTCCCCACCTTCCGGTTCTCCTGCAGGTACTGCCCTTCCCAGCTCACTTGGGCACAGGTGTCTCTTTACCCTGATGGGTGAGCAAGAGTCAGTGCTCGGATAAGTCTCCCAACCCGAGACCCCTCCAGAGGACCGTTTTCTCCACCCAAAAATCTGAGTAGGGCCCTGCCGGACTCCGCGGGATGAGGGCGCTGATGTCCAGCCCCAACAAGCTGGGCTCCAACTTAGTGGGTCCTGCCCTTTGCCCCTGAACTTCCAAACCTTCCACTTCGGAGTACCGCCCCCTCCTCGGGCCACGGCAGCCGTCCCTGCTTCCCCGGTCTCCCAGCTTGTCCTCCCCGGGAATAGGGGTGATGGAACGCAGGGCCCGGGCACCCACGGCCCGGGGCCTCCCAGCTCCCTCCCTCGGGCCTGTCGCTGCCCCGGGCAGGCGGATGTGGGCGCCCCGCAGGAGGCCCGAGCCCTCCGGCCCCGGAACCAGCTCCGGCCCGGAGGCTGCCCGAGCTCCGCGGAGCCAGGCAGGGCGGGTGCGGTCGCGGGGCGCAAACCCGGCCCGGGCCGCGGAGCTGGTCGGAGCCCGAGCTGGAGCCGGAGCCGGAGCCCGAGCCTGGGCGGGCGCCGCTGGGTGCCGCACAGGGCGGGGCGGGCGGGGCGGGGGGCGGCCGCCCAGTACTCACCAGCGCTGGGGCTGTGCATCCAGGGACCGGGGCCCTCAGAGCGGGGGGCTCATGGCGGAGCGGGGGGCTGGGGCGCCGGCCTCACATCCCCCCAGTCGCCGGAGGCTGCAGAGCGACTGAGAGACGGCGAGAGGAAGGGAGGGGGCCGGGAGGGGGAGGGCCCTGGCAGCCCGGCCGGCCGGGTAGGATGACAATGGAAGGAAATGCTTTATCTGAGTCTGAGAGCGGGCCAAGGGGGAGGGGAGGGAGGGGGCAGGCGCTCGCGGCCCTGGGACACACCACCCCGGCAGACACTGCACTGCGCGGCGCACAGGCGGGCCGCAGACACTGCGCGCCGCCTGATCGCGGCGGGGAGCGGTGCACCGCCTGGCCTACAGCGCCGAACCCGGAACGCCGGACGCGGTCCGACCCGCGCGCTGCTGCCGAGCCCCAGCCGCCGCGCGGCGCTCCGACCGGAGCACAATTCCCGGAAACCCAGATACCTGAGCGCACGCACCCTTGCATACAAAACGAGCATACATCCATGTTTACACAGGGGCAGGATCATTTACACAGACACACGCTTCAGGGAAGGACCCCCGTGCACACACCTATGTACACATACAGTCCACGAGCAAATAGCCGCATAGAGGGAAAGATGGACACGCTTCGAGTCCCATGCAAAGTCCCACGCAAGGATTCCCAAACGGACACCCCCAATCTCTCTCTCTCTCTCTCTCTCTCTCTCACACACACACACACACACACACACACACACATACACACACACTCTCGCCTCGGGAAAGTTCCAGGATCTGATTTGAATCACTGCCAGCCCTCCCCCACTGGCCCCCCCCCCCCCCCCCATTTCTGCTGAAGGGAATAGAAGGGTCCAGCCTGTTCCTATTAAAAGAAAAAGGGGATGGGGGTGGTGCAGATTTTGAAAGTTTTCTTTTCTTTCTTTTTTTTTTTTTTAAAGAAATTTCTCAAGGGATTTCCTTCCCTCCTCTCCTCTTCCTCTCTTTCTCCCATTCCTCTCCCTCTACAACCCCCCCTCCTTTCCCCCTCCCGGTCCCTATGAGTCAAACTTCAGCAATGTGCCCAGTGTCCCCCAGTGCATTACAGCGGATCACAGAAATGTTCCAGTCTGTGAGTCGGAATGTAGCCGCCTCCAGCCCTCCCTCAGCTAATAAACTCAGCTCAGGGCAGGCTTTGCAAAGCGGCCCTCCCTGCCTCTACCCTCCTCCCACCCACTCACTACCCCTCTTTGGGCTGGAGAGAAGGTCAGATTCAGAGGTCAGGGGCTGAGGACCTCCCCGTTGTACTTCCTGGCCTACTATCAGCAGTGTCAGCCTCCAGCAATATGCTGGGTCAGAAAGCTCCTGGGAAGGCCAGAGGTCCCTGACCCAGAAAACAGGGCTCTCCTATAGTGTGGGTGAGGTGCCACTGGAAAGCAGGGAGGAGTTAGTTTCCTTCTGACCTGAACCTACTCCCTCAACCTAGGACCTCCAGAGTTTACAGAAGTTGAGGCAGACGCAGTGGTGGAACCATGTTGGATTGGAAGCAAGAGTCTATAGGGGCCTAGAAGTGTTTAGCCATGCTGAAGAAAAACTTCTGACCACAGACTTATTCCCTCAGTCACTGCTCTGGCCTGTGATGCTTAGCTGCTGACTTCCTATTTCAGGTGCTTTTCTTGTCCCAGTGCTCACTGGCAGGTAGATGGAACTCCTCTGAACTTGTTAACTTATATTCACAAACTCCTTTCCTGATATTCAAGTTCTCCTATAACATGGTACCATGCTACACACCCCTGACCTTGCCCAGTGCTTCCTGATACTTAGTGATTAATGATTTTATTTACTATTGGTACTATTATTTTTTTAGTAGACTGAAATAATAGCAGACCATACCCCTCCTGTCTTCATGCTTTCTCACTCCATGCCTTTGGCTCATTGTTCTCCCTCCAAAAATAAATGTCCTCACCAGTCTCTTTCTCCTATTGAAATCTTTCTACTTCTTGCCGGGCGTGGTGGTACACACCTGTAATCCCAGTGGCTGGGGAGGATCACAATTTCAAAGCCAGCCTCAGCAAAAGCAAAGTGCTAAGCAACTCAGGGAGACCCTGTCCCTAAGTAAAATACAAAATAGGGCTGGGGATGTGGCTCAGTGGTTGAGTGCCCCTGAGTTCAATTCCCGGTACAAAAAAAAAAAAAAAAACTTTCTGCTTCTCAAAACCCATAGTCTTCTCCAGGAAGGCAGATTCCATTGCCAGTAGGATTTTTCCCTTCCCTGAAAGGACCTGCCCCCAGTGTATTGGTTTTTCTCTCTGACCTTCACCCACCTCATCAACTAGTTTCAACTCTTCCTTCTTCCCCAAGAGCTTCAAGAGTAGATATCTGGCTTGAATGCTGCAACTACTGCCAGCTACTAGCTGAGTCATGGCTGCATTTCTGATAGTGCTTTGAACAGAAATCAAACTCCATGTGGGTTTTTTGTTGAACTGGGACAGATGTTCATGGCCTTCAGGAACCTTCTTTAGCTGGTCACCCCCAAATACACTCTTCTGTCACATGAGTATCCATGCTAGCTCTGCAAGACACCTGCTCTTACATCTCCCCAATGCTCACTTCCTAACCAGATCAACCTCTTCCAATCCCTCCTGTAGGCCCACAGCCCCCAACAAAATTCCTATTTACTGCAGACTCCAGTAACCCCAGTTACTACAGACAGCCCCTATTATCTCCCTCCTGTATCCCCACTATACACCCGCCCCCCCATAACACATGTACCTCTCGCTCTGCTATGTCTATTTCTGTGCTGAAGTTGGGTCCTTTTTTGCTCATTTCTACCAGGTGCATCATTCACATATTTACCTATAAATCTGCTTTTTCTTTTCAACCTGATCACTGACTTGTGAGTGACCCGAACAGAGATGTCTTGCTGCCTGTCTGTCCTTACAGTGTTCAACATGTGGCTTTCTATACACACCAGGACTCACTGCCTGCCAAATATAGGCAGACAGTGTGTGTGACCTGCAGCTGAGAGGCTGGACTGTGTCCCTCTTTCCCCCACTAGATTTACCTACCACTCCACCAGCCCCTGCCCTATTGTGGAGTCCTAAGACAGTTTCTAAGTCACATGTGCCCTGCTGGGATATGTTAGAGAGCCTCCATGAACCCTAGAGACATGAGACTATAAAATGCAGGCTATCTCTCTCTCCTCTACCCTGGTTACCATGGGGAGCTTCTATAAAGTCTCTCAAGTCCAGGCCTTTCACAGCCTGCTGAGCTAAACACCTAGCATAAGAGATTGGCCCCAAAGGACTTGCCTCAAGTCTTCCCTGGGGTCTCTGGCCCACACAAAGCCTGAGCACACCCCTCTCGGCTTCCCTTTGGGGCTCTGGGACTACTTGACCTTCTCTTTATCCTTCTTCTTTCTTCCCTTAGTTAGCTACCCTTTACTGACTGTTTACCATGTAGCAGACCTACGCTAGCCCTTAGACAAACATTAGATCATTTATTCTTAACAATAATCCTTGTTATGCTCGTGAATAAAGTATGGCCCATAAAGATGAAGAAACCTGACCAAAGTTGCACAATGGGTAAGTTATAGGGCCATTCATTCATTCAATAAATATTATTGGGTGCCTACTTTGTGCCAGGATTCAAAGTTCCAGAAAGTCCTCAAGTCTAAACCTCAAGATCACTCCTGTCCCAGCCTTCTCAATGTGGCAGCTTCAGCAACAAGTCCTCCCATAACTGTGCACTTACTACAGACAACCTCTTCCCACAGAGGCATGCTCACTCCCCAGGGTCTCAGTGGACAGCCATTGCATGGGATTGGGCCAGGCCTTGTGCTCCAGTTTCTGGGCCTGGGATCGAATGCCAATGCATAGAGTTTCAGACTTGTAAATTAATAGGGGAGGTTAAATCCCCAACTCCAAGTAAAGGGGTTTCATGGGACAGAGAGAAGAAGGAGAAGGAAGGAAGAGAGTGGGAGAGGCAGGGAGGGGAAAAAAATTGAAGATTTCTTGAGCATCTCCTATGTTTCACATGTTGTTCAAGGTCCTTTTGCTTACACCTCATTATCATCCCCATTGTTTTAGTGAGCAAACTACAGTTCAGAAAGACAAAATGATTCGCCTAAGGCCACAGAGACAGTAAGAGACTTGATCTCAAGTATATTCTGATTCAGAGCCTGTGTTACTTCTCCTAGCAGGTCAGAACAGTGGCCAAGCTTTGTCAGGGTCTCCTATTCCTGAGCAGCCTGATTCCTTGAGTTCCCTGTTGACCTGTGCATATCGTTCCTGATGCCAAGTCTCCTGTCTTGCTGGCTCCAGTCATGTGGTCATATCCTTGTTCCCTCCGCCCCCTTTCTCTGTTGCTTTGCACAGGATTAAGGAGCTAAGTAAGCATCCTGGGTATGGCTTTGGGCTGCAGGCAGGCAGACACTCATCTAAGATTTCAGGGTCTAAGACAAGAGGTGCCAGGTGCTTCTGGACCAGAAGTGAATGAATAAATCAGGAAGAGGCTGCAGCATGGCTGCCAGTCTAGATGGCCCAGGTTGGCAGGGGAGATGACCGTGGGATCTTGAGTTGGTGGAGAACTAAGCAAGTCCCTTCCCCCGGCGTGCCCTTACCTCCTTTAGAGTCAACAAAGGTGGTGTGGTTTACCCTGTGGTCTGTTGCCCTAGACACCTGCAGTTCTGAGTAAGCTTGTATGTGTCTAGGTGCCAGCAGTGTGGTGGGGGGACATGAGGAGAAAGCACTGGGACAGGATGGGGAGGGGCAGGAAGTCAAAGACAGGGTCTCTTCAACCCCAAAATGAAAAAGGTACAGCCAATGAAAAAGATGACAGAGGTCACTACCTTGATAACTACATCCAAGCACATAAGGAAAGAGCCAGGAGAGAGGCATTGTGGGTATCAGGGCCCTGGGTTGGAAGTCAGGGAGCCTGAGTTCTACACTCAGTTCTGCCACAAACCTCCTGGGTGATATCTTTTTGTTTGTTTGTTTCTAGAGATTAAACCCAGTGGCACTCTATCACTGAGCTACATCCCAGCCCTTTTTAAATTTTAAAACAGTCTCGCTAAGTTGTTCAAGTTGGCCTCAAACTTATGATCCTCCTACCTCTGCACCCCCAGTAGCTGGAATTACAGGCATGAGCTACCACGCCTAGCTTGAGTGATACCTAAATCTAAGTTTTCTGTGTAATAGCAATATCTTGGCTATCTACCTCACAGAGCTGCTCTGAAATTATATGAATAATATATGCAAAATTTTATACCACTGTTTTTTGCTTTTTGATGTCTCTGTGTGGCTAAACAGCACCACTATGAGTAGTAGTAGAATTTTTGCCCTGATACCATGTGAAATACCTTGATGTCTCTCTCTCTCCTTCTCTCTCTCTCTCTCTCACATACACACACACACACACACACAGCCCTCC